TCCAAGCACTTTTACTGTCCTAAAACGTGATGACAGACACAAAAAAAAATGAAAAAAAAATAAATAAATAAAAAAAAAGGTGGGCAAGTGGGTGTCGCTCTGCTGTACAGTAGGTTACAAGTGGGTCACTGTATAATGGATGGTATTAAATTTGAATTCAATGATATAATATCATTGTATAAGAAAAACGATTCTGAGCGGTGACGGTATGTCAGTCTATGTATAAGACATATTATATACATATCTATGGTATTAAACAAAAAATTGACCTATAATAAATTCCAAATTAATCATATCACAATATCCATTAGATACTTATAACAGTTATAACGCGTTATACATCAACAAAAACCGTGATACTGTCATAGATATATAATTGTACACTTTAGAAGTTTCAAGTACCCACGAATAATATTATTCAATCACAACAAAATAACTAAAATCGTAATTCTTGGTTTAAATATGAAATTTTGTCTAAATTTGAAATTAAAATGTCTGTAAAAAATAAGTGTGTTTATATATTTTTTAGATTTTTTGGTTACAGTATGAATTATTTAAGAGAATCTTTGTTTTAAATTTTCAACTCTTAGTTATAAAAACTGAACATTTTATAATTTTTTAATTCCAACGATTGATAATTTTTGAGATTTTGATAAATTTTGTCAAAATTCCAACTTTAAATGCTTATAAAAAAAAATCGTGGATATGTATTTTTAATATTTTTCAACTGATATTGTAACAATATATCAGGAGCCTTGTATTAAATTTTTACACTTTTTGGCCCAACAGATAAAACTTTATTGATATTTATAGAAAAAAAAACTAAAAAAAATTGAAAGCTGTAAATGTCCATAAACAGCTCAAAAAGAGTCAAAATATTTTCAAAATTGTATGGTGTATAGGAAATGCTAATATAAACATTCAGTGAAATTTTCATGTATCTACAGTTATTCGTTTTTGAATTACAACAAAATAAGGAAATCGCTACATGAGAAATCGAGTGAAAATCCAATGTTGTAAAAATTTGAATTTCAAACGCTCATAAAAATTTAATTTGACTTTCCGGTAGAGATTTTTTTATTGATAAAGGTAGATAATCTTATAAGGAATCTTGTGTTTCATTTTCAAATCTTAGATTTAAAAAGAAAAATTTTTACGAATTCTTAACTCAAAATAATTTGCTAATTTTCGTGATTTTTCCATATTTTGTCAATTTTTGAACTTTAAATGCTTATAAAAAAAATTGTGACTAAGGATTTTTAATATTTTTCATCTGCCTTTGAAACAACATATTAGGAGCCTTCTATTAAATTTTCAAGCTTTCGCAACCAACAAATAAAATTTTATTGATATTTCTAGAAAAAAAACTAAAAAAAAATGAAAAATGAAAATGTCCCTAAACAGTTCAAAATAAATCAAAATATTTTGAAAATGTTATCGTGTATAGAAAATGCAAATATAAACAACCAGTGAAAATTTCATGTATCTACGGTCATTTGTTTTAAAGTTACACCAATAACCAAATTCGATTTTTTGGAAAATCGATTTTGCGTAAAAATTCCCGTTTTTCCTTAATTTTTATGTTGTTTTTCCCGGCGCTTGTGAAAACTACTGGAAAATGTTTACTTTTGACCCCCCAAAGTACCAACTAGATTCACTTTCCTATCAGAAAAGGTACTATTGAAGAAAATCGAAGCACTTTTACTGTCCCAAAACGTGATGACAGACACAAAAATATAAATAAAAATATAAATAAAAATATAAATAAAAATATAAATAAAAATATAAAAATATAAAAACATACATCATTGTAAAACCAATACATTCATCGCTCCGCTCAGAATCTAAAACAACACACATCATTGTAAAATCAATACATTCATCTTTCCACCCAGAATCTAAAAAATAATACTAATAAAAATAATAACACTGGCAATCGCGGGGGGGGGGCTTTAGCCCCTGTGTACGCCACTGATGCTCTATATTCGAAATACCTCTTAACATTAATGTTATGGATGAAGCATTTCATTTTCGGTTTTATTTAGCCGACTCGCGGGCTATCGAAAAAGGCGGGTTAAATTGGAGGAAAAGGTGTATTTTTCCCGCCATGTGTTTAATATAGGTATTATACTATTATAATACTTATGGTACCTATACCTATACCAACATATATTTTAGCAGATGATAATGTGAATGGGTACATTATATTATAACCACGCGGTGTCGGGTCTTTTGCAATAACAAGGTTTCGTTACAACGATATAGTGGAATCGCGGTGAAGTAGGTGCGTATACGGTGCATGAAAGGGTTATTTTCAGTAGCAGATGCTCGAATATAAAAGGGTTTATCAATGCCTTCGAATGTTTGTCGAATAACTTCAACGTGGTCACAGATCCTAGGTTAGGTCCCGTATACCCAACGAAAAATAATTAAATCTAATACCTATATAGTAGGTATCCACATAGGTATTGAAATATTGAAAATTGTATCTATGCAAGTATTTGAAATGCATTAGGTATATTTTATTGATACCTACACGTTTTGTACCCTTTATAAATTGGATAAAGATACCCAAGAAATATTTTATTTAATAATCTGCTTGTACAACATTATACAAGTCAAGACGTGTGTCGAGTCGTGTCATATTAACTTGCAGGAGAGGTCATCATTATGTCTGATATTGTTTTTTAGTTGAATACATGCATATTAATAAAATAAATACATATTTGAATTAACTGTGTAACTTTGACTACACTTTTAAAAATGTTGTGAAAAGTTAATACTATAATACTGTCTACATTTAAATGTACAATATTATTCATGCGAATTATTTTCACAGTTTCACACGTAGAAAATAAGTCATGATAATTCGTCGTAATTAAATTAAAATAGCTACAATTGTATAAAATATATAAAATTCTGTTATGATATGGTATAAATTTCAGACTATCAAATATAATTAAATTTACAAACCTCAAGTTTTGTTATGTTAATTTGCTACAAAATGATTGTTAGGAATTATAATGTGATAACTGATAAGTATATTGGTAAATAATAATAACAATAATTTTCATTAACGCCTAAAAGGGCGATTCGTACAATTGAACATTGGTAGAAGTATAAAACTTAAATACAATGAAGTATACACAATAGCGATAAATGAATCCAAAACAATTTACATGTTAGGGTCACAGAAATATGTCAACAATTGAAATTTATAAAAAAAATTCAGCAGTAGGATTCTGTGAGTAGGCTGATAGTGGCCGTAGAAAGTGGTGCGGGTGTGGACATTAAAAAAGGGAATTGTTTCAACAAATTATAACATGTTATTGTTCCAAGTTTGATCAATTGTTTAGGTATACATTATATACATATTACATACTGTAACTATATTAAATTATTAAATTATGAAGGAACAATCAAACTATCAAGTATAGGTAGTAATTTTACGAGCCACACGTTTTATAGCATGTATATTTTCAATTTGATTTCAAATTATAATTTTAAACATATAACTTGAGTCGAATGAGTGATTACAACATTTTATATTAACTTCAAACAAATATTTTATGAAGTGTATTAATTAAAAATTAATTTTACCATTTCCTTATTTTATGTTTTATTTTTAAATTTAGTATTAAGCCAGATTTACTAAATAAATCAGCTGTTGATTGAATTATAAACAAGAACAAATTAATGTTATAGTTAAGGATTTATCATATAGGCAATATTATTAATAAATAATAATGTTTAGTTGCCTGTTGAGTTGCCTGATGATTAGAGATGAATTGCCTTAATTTATTATGTTAATGAAAAATGTTAAAGTATTATATTGTTTAAATATTAACCAACTCAAAGATTACAAATATTACGAATATAAGAGCCAAAATTATATTTAGGTTATTATTATAATTATTTTTATTTTTAAGTGAAGCAAATCATTATTTATTATTTATTAATAATTATTACAATTTATTATTAACGAAATCCATCACTGAAAGAATTACGTAAATATAGGGTTTATTTGTTTTTTAATTTGATTAAGATTATTTTTGATGACCAAGAAAAATATTATATTCATATAGCAATATAAAAATGTAAATAATAAACTTAATGCAATTCAACGGGGACAAAGACAAGTTTTGTGGGTAAAGACTGTAAAAATGTAATAGTAAAAAGAATCTAAAATTATATATTTACAGAAAAACTAATAACTGAATTGAATTAAATGAATTTTAAAAAATAATATTAAAGAGCAAAATCGAGATACACGTTAATAAAACGGCAGAATAATTTCATGAAAAATAAATGTTTACAGATAAAAGTGCGGACAGTTGCGGACATGTCCACCACTGTTAAATAAAAATATTGCCATGGTAGCTACATAGTTATTGTTATGTGTTATGCACATTTGGAAAATATTTTCACGAAACGTCTTGATATAGTTAATTTTCCCAATTATGGAATAGGTATATAGGTATTCAATCATTACTGAATTATAGTAAAAGTTTCTCCGGAAAAACAGATGGAATGAGCTTGTTTTTACGTGGCATAGTGCCCTGCCCCAGCCGAAATCCATTCCAGATTGATGACATATATCCAAATGACGGCGAAACGTCATCGTCCGTGATTGGGACTTGTACAATTTTAAACCCATGTCCAGTACGCGACCTGCTGTCGACGTCACCGAGACCCTCCCCACATCCCTTTATAAATTTGTTTACTAAGACACCGTCACCTTGCTCTTAGAAGTTATTACCCGATTTGATTATCCCTTCGACTCCCCTCACACAAAAGCTATAGGCCAATGACAGTGGTTCTTGGTCCACTAGTGTCGACACCCGTGTCGAGTTTCGTAATAATTAATCAAAGTACTAAAAGCTGTGATATAAATGTAAAAACATAAACAAATTTAGTAAAATAATGTTAAAACCGATGTATATTTTTCCCAAATATAGTGTGTTAAAAATATAGTTTCTTGTTACCTATGGTGTTAATTTTTACTGTATCCACGGTACTGGTCTTTCGACAAATTTTGCCAATAATTGATTACACTCGTCACATTTCAAATAGTATAGATTGATAAGAATTCGAGAATCTTCACTAGTGTATATTCGGTTCTTAATTACAAAAGAAGTGTTGACGTATTTCCACACCTGGTCGTCTTGTTCCATTTTAAATTGTATACATTGTTCACAGTATACACCTCGTTCTGGTATATTGACATAATTCACAACTATCAGATGTGAGCACATTGTCCGGTATCTGTTGTTTAGTTTCTCTTGAGGAATATTAGTGTAATCGACCTTGATTGTCCTAAACATTTCGAGTAGCTCGTACGGTAAGCTGAACAAATCTTGTGGCTGTGGCGCTTCGAACATAATGACCGGTAAAAAATAATTTTAAAGTACCTATGGAGTCCTGCACCAATGAAATCACGGATTGGGTTCTGACGATTTCTAATGCTGTGGATTTGAAAACAATAAAGAACAATTGATTCCAAATCTATATAATATAAAAGAGTAAAAGCGTGATGCGTGTCAATAATAAAGGCAGAATAATTTTATGACAAATAAAATATGTTGACAGTTAAAAGTGTGGACAGTTCATCATAAAAAAAATAATAAAATATTGTCATGGTAGCTACACAGTTATTGTCAGTGTTACACACATTTGGAAACGTCTTGATAGTTAATTTCCCTAAGTATAGAATAAGTATATTGTATAATATAGGTATAGGTACTATAATGTACTGTTCAATCATTACTGAATTATAGTTAAAGTTTCTCTGGAAAAACGATGTGGTCGTGAGCATATTTTTAGGTGGCATTTAGTGTCCTGCCTCACATTAAATCCGTTCCAGATTCATGACATAAATCCAAATGTATATCTAAAACCAGGACAAATATCGTTACACATACTTGAAAGCGAATATCAAAGGTCTAATTGTCAAAATAAACACATTTGAAACAGCTAGTATATAGTAAAGAGATTTTCAAAATATACAATAATAAACTAATGGACGAATGGAGTAGGTAAATAACTACAGGTACACTATTCAGGGTATATTATATTCTCAACTAAATATCAAAATTCATAATATTTTAGCTTAGAAGAAAAATTAAATAATAATTGAATGGACTCCGAAACAATCCCATAATATTACGGGTACAATGGGTAGGTACATATTATAAAACACATAGGTAAAACTTGATTTTAATGAAAAACTTACACGGACGGTAAACGTTTCTAAGACATATTGTTATAAGCAAGAATTGATATAAGCAATATAAAAATCTATACGGAAAAAATGGACTTAACCGATTAATCGATTGACGTTTAGTAATAATTTTTAGATGCATATATTTTATCTCAACAAACTTATATTTTATGGTTATTGGTTTCTATTTCATCGTGTTGAACGTGTGCTACATATACGAGTACTTTATTTACTATGCGTATACGAGGGTATAAACATTTTTTTTTTTTAATATAATAACTTAGATTTTACTTTATTTTATTTTAGGTTGTGTTATTTTTGTCTACGCATGTACGCGCACGCATGAACCCATCACTAAAGACAGAGTGATTTATATTAAAAAAAAAACAAAAATTAAATGTGTAAGTTTTGACATTCGTCTGGGTTCAATCCAATATATTAAATAGATGTACAAATCTGTAATATGTTAATTTTTACTATACGTTAGTATATATATGATCAAGTATTGAATAACAACTTTAATATATCTTTGTTTAAATGTTATGTTAATAATTAAAAATATCTAGAATCGCAGTCAAAATGTAAAGTAAGATTTAATACATTTTTTTTTCATATATTAGTGTTAAATGATTCTGTGCTGGGAAGCTATAAAGTGCTATATTATATAATATTATATTTTTTTTAGATATATATATATATATATATAATACGAAAAATATGCAATTATTACTTATTATGCAGATCCTATACAGGTATTAGATGGATAATTTTGTTTCATTGAATTCACGGTTTAATTTCTTATTAACTTACAGTCTTCTAGTTTATTAGGTACTGGTTTAAAATTAAATTAAAAAGTTTTTTTTTGTATTCAGTCATTATTTCATATTATTGTGATTATTACAAAACATAATATTATTAATGTAAGCGTACAGTTATACGGACTACAGGGGATCCACTAACTTGGATCAGAAAAAGCGTTTAATAAAACCTACCTACTAGGTTTGTTAAATGTTCAATATTTTTAAACTTTATAAATCATTTTTCAGTACTTTTTAAAATATTTTTTTTTCATTAAAAAAAAATAAATATTTTTTTCATGTGTTTTGAAATGGAAAATGCATATTTAAATTTAAGTAATTAAATAGAAAATAGTTAACTGGAAATGTTGATGTAGGATACACGTCATATTATATAGCATGATGAACAAGCTGCTTATAAAAATAATTATTTTAAGTTTAGGAAAGAAAAGTAGGTAAGGGTAAAAATTGTCTTTTCTATTTTTACATAACCTTGCTCTACATTTCTGTAATGATATTAGAAAACTAATGTCCGTCATTTCCTACCTGATATTTTACTGCAATACTTTGACATAGTACGATTTTTCAAAATTAACTAATTTGTACTTGTAAACTGCACTTTTAGTTTCACGTAGCGAAATTTCTGCAGTCTACGTAACCACCACAACAACTAAAACTTAAAATAAATCTGTTACTTGTCCTGTTTTGATTTTAAGAGAATTTAATTGTAAGTGATTATAGTTTCACTAGTAAATTGTATTAATTAAAATGTTCGTATGACTATGTGAGTTATTTAGGACCACCATTGTTATAATGGTTTATGAGGAATTTATGACATTTTAGAAAATTTCAAATTATCACAAACGTGGACGTATAGTTTTACATAATATGAACTCGAAAAAGGTATACTTGAACCCATACAGTGCTAAAAGTATTTATGATTAATATAATAATAAAGTTAGGTAAAACTTGTAATTCACTTTATGTTGAGACTTTGAGAGTATTATCATTTATCATTATTGAGTTTAAGTTCGATTATTTAATTTATCCAACTACACGTATATTAGAATCCAATCGTGTTTTAAATTCGGTTTTATAGAACGTAAGTGATAAAACAGTTAAGAAGTGTATACAAGGCTAAAATATTTAAATGTACAACAAGTATTTGGTATAATAAAATATATATTAAAGACTAAGATTTTTTTCATTAAAGTATTTGATTAAGTTATGTATGGATCGTTCAAAACAATCAAAACTGATTCGATCATTTTTTTATTAAGTCATATAAATAGTATTTCACTATTTTAGTAAATTATACAAGAAGTTATACCTACGTCCTCAGTTTATGGTCTATCAGCTAAAATTTTTGTCGAATCCTATTAAAAATGTGATTTGATTACGATTATCGATGTCCCGATAAAATGGATAAACTTTATTTTTTTCAGTTTACGTTTCAATACCTTCTTCAATAGGTATTTAAAACGATGTCTCCATTTTAAATAGGGAGTGGATAAAAGTATTATATAATTTTATTTTTTATTTATTTATAGTAATTTACTGTGTAATAATTTTGCAATTTATGGTGAAAATGTTTTTAATTCCACACTAATACACTATGAATTTCCAGAAACACAATATTATGTTTTAACATTAACTATCGTATTTTGAACGTATCGAGACTAAAGTATCGAGATAATAGTGATTGTTTGTTCATAAAACTAATAACATAACAGATTATTAACAGATCGACTTATTAGTTATTGTACCGACGCATATATATATTATTATGTTACAGATACCGAATGTTATACACAATATATTGTTATTATTATACGTACGTGTACTTACTACCTTAATCACCCTCCAAATTATTCAAACATTGATCAAGTGTCCATATAATGATGAAGGTAAGATGACAATAATTAACTAACGCTGTAGAAAATATCAAAATATGTGTCATCCTGATTTGCATAGAGATTATAAAGGAAAGGTTATCCGGAAAGGATTACTGTTATCCATTATAAACCAAAACGTTGGGAGCACGTGAAAAGATAGTGTTGCCCAAACGGATAATACGAAAGCACAGCACGTATTGGTATACAGCACAAGAGAGATGAGGATGAAGTAATATTAGAGTATATCACTCTGAGAGAGACTTAGGCAGATAACGTATAATGCCTCGTGAGTTGAAAAATAGCAACAATTACTGCACACGACACAATGTTAAGAAATTATAATTACAAGTTATAACTTATAACCCTTACAGGTTCGCAGATATATATACAATCAAAATAAAACTTAAAACCATGTTTTGTGAAAGGTGTGGCCCTTTGAATACATATAAATAAACGTATGGAGCGTTGCTCGCTATGCAAATAAATCATAATGAGTATCATAATGAATAATGATACATCTGATGAAAATGAATAGGAATGGTTCATTGGCGATGTCGGAATTCGTTGGCGTGCTTTGAAATAAAAAGAAAAGCGGTTTTGACGATTGTGATTTTAAAATGACAAAAACGGTTTTATTTTTCTCTTCATCAATAGGTTGTACAACGAAAGTCTATTTATTTTGTACGTTGACAAGCAAAATACGATAAAAGCGTTGAAATAGTGTTTGAGAGATAATTGATAAATGAAAACTATTTTAATGGTTTAACGCTTTAATATAATTATATAATATACACTATAATCGGTGTATTGTTATAGTTTGTTTTTGTAAATTAATATAAAATGTTTTGGTTAAAAAAATAATTAAAAAACTAGGTACCTACTGTAAATAAAATATATCAGATTGATAAATGCACTGTTTCAAAGTATTTTTAGATACATTTTTAGTAAGTCAACCTAAAACTTTAAATACTATAAACATATACATATATATATATACTTATTATACCTATTACATTTATGTACAAGATAGTTTATCCGTGTGTCAAGTTAGTGTATGACAGTAAATAATAAATTTAATAAATTAAACGAAAGTAGAGCATAAGTTTAGTCTTTCAGAGTTGATCCGTTTTAGTAAAACACACATATATATATATACCTACTCTACAGGTGCAGTTATTTTATCTATTATAATCTACAGTATTTTATTATTTTTAATTAGAAAGGTATAACTAGGTTTTGAATTATTTCATTATGATGAGTGGTTTTTATACTACGCCAGTTCTAGTGGTATCATCAATGTATTTTAGATTGTTTTTATTGGCTGTGGTGTTCGTATATTGTATGGACAAAAACAACTGCTATAATATTAAAGTTTTAAGTATTTAAGTTTTCTTAAAACGTGTGTTTACTGTTATAGTCATATACGAGTTATATTTTGTTATTTTATAGCTTATTTTTATTTTGGAACA